CATCTTCTCACAGGATTCAGACTGGCCAGCAAATCTTCAAACTCAGCCCCACTGTCTGAGCACAGGACCTGGTCCTGAGGAGCCAGAAACTGCACACAGCTCAAAAGCCATAAAGTGCTAACACTGGATTTACCTCAGCTTACCCACAAGTCTAAAGTTTGGGGCATAACTTAAGAGTTAGACAGCTATTCCTCTCTGGAAGCAGGGGGATGCAACATCTTCCAGAGGTGCCTCTATTACTCCCTGCATGGCTCAGAGGAATGTGCAAATTCTAGACAGCCACAGTTAAGTGAGACAAATACTACCCTGCAAACTGAATGACAAGCTGACATACTGTAGATTTCTCCAGCAGTATTATTAAGTGACAAAACTGCCAGTTTCTATAAATTGATCCACTAAGATCAGCAAAACCAGAGGCTGCTCCTGTGGGTTGAACATTTAATAATTCTTCAAAATTACGGGGAGGAAAAAAAAAAAAAAGAGAGAGACACAGATTGTGGAGAAAACCAGCAAAAAATTGGTTTTGCACGGGTGGTAAGTAATGCTGAGAATAAGCACAGATTGACATAACTGGCATTTAGAAGACAGGAAGCAAAATATTAATGTTAATATGTAACTAAATACACTTTCCCCTTAATTACTGCTTGCACTCTGCCAGTGGCAGGATGCTGTCAGAAGGATTCAAAGAGGTTGGGAGAAAATTCAAACATTTTAAATAGAAAATAAAATCTAATTGCACGGCAGAAATTGGGAACAACCAGTGAGTGTTTGGAGGCATCGGGGTTGGAAAGCCAAAGGCACGTGAAAATGAAGGACATTTCTCTGTGCAGTCATAAAGGCTGACAGTTTTGACTGCACAGACAAGAGTATCAGGAAGAAGGGAAAGTAACTCAGATTTTCCTATTTGTTATAGCTATCTTGTGACAGTCTCTGAAGTACTTAATGCTGTGCTTTAAAGCACTAAAAAAATGGAGGTTATTTACTTGCAGAAATAACAGTGCTGCAGGGGATTAATGGGATATACAGAAAAGAGTGGTTATGTTCCAACAGTGACTAAGTGTAGTTAAAAGAATGGACATATTTTCAATAGATGAATATTTTTCAATATGCATATACACTTACCATGGGGAGGAATTACTCAGTATGAAATACTGAGGAATACTAATTCAAAGCAGCAAACTGAGAACAGTTAAAAATGAAGGTTATGAAGAAATGTCCACACAATTGAAAGCAAAATATATCAAAGCTGTAGACCACAGCTTGTAAAAAAGCTACAGCATCACCATGCCTGCAGCATCTGATACAGTGCTGCCAGGTGCAAGCAGAACAGTCATTTATGGATAGCAACAGCTATGGTTGCTTAATTTTTTCTAACATTCACATACCTCCAGAGCATCCATGCAAAGAAAAAAGTATATTTAGGAAATGCAGAAACCCTCTCACCTTTTATTCTAACCATCTGTGGCACTACCACTCCCTTCTGCACTTTCTTACAACATGGAGGATACAAAAGAAATCACCACATCACCAACTAAAGGACACTACCTGCAAACTTTACCCAAAATAAGATTAGATGAGTATGTGAGATAAAATCTGCAAAAACCACAGAGCATACTGAGAGTTAATCAGAGGACACCCCTGGTATGTTAGAAGACACCTATGACTTGTCCTGCAGCAGACTGTTTCTTTCTTAAACAAGTGCTTCTGGCAGCAGAAGCTTTCTGGCCTCCGAATTGCTGTCCTTGCCCTCTGGTCTCTGGTTTTACAGGCACAAAGTGTGGGCGTTGCCTCATGTATGCTTTAAGTTCCTTTTTGTCGGATTATCTGTTTAATTTAGCAGACTGCCATTTTCATGCAAAGTAATCTACAACAGAGATCCCCACTGCTGTGCAACACAGAACATTGGCATCACTTGTCACAGCTGCTGAAATGAAAACCAAAACAAAAAACCATTATAATTTGCTGCTGTCACAGAGTGTCAAGAGAGAACAACCACCAAGAATGGAGCAGCTTTTCCCTGCTGGAAAGTTTTAAGGAAGTAATTTGTTTCCCTGTCAGCCTTGTTTGCTACCAAGCTGCTCCACTCACGAGGTCGACTTGCTTTACAATAGTCAGCAGTTTCCATCCAATGAACCAGTTATTTCATGGGGAAATAAACTCTTCCATTTCATGGAACAAGCTATCTTGGAAAATTCATATTTTATTGACCAAAACAACATGGCACAGGGCAGGTCAATCAAAACCTGTGCAAAGTCTGGGCAAAAGGCAGGGCTGAAACTCCATTACACTCCAAATATTCACCATGGCTTAAAGAATATTAGAAAACTGTAGGAATTAACATCAGGACTGTATTTTTGGTGCACAGGCTGTAAGCCAGTACCCTCCTGCCTGCAGCATGTGAGAAAGCCCACTCTGAACTGCAACACCTGTATCAGACAAAATAAACTCTGCAGGACTGGTTCTGCCATACACAAAGGGGTCATGAGATATGTAATACAGATGGAGTAGCCCAGTTTCAACATGGAAAACCTACATTTAAGTGGGGAAATCCCATCTCAAGAATTCCCCCAACATATGAAAACTGAGCCTTGAAGCCTGAAGGATATCCACATGTGACTGAGTTTACAAGTACCCAAATCCCTCACATGTCATCTTGGTGACCTACAGAAAAATGACATGCAATTGCCTTTTGGCTTTCCTAGGACTTTATAATCTGCCAAATCATACAGCCAGGCCATTCATCTACTGTAGAGATTAGGAGAGGACTATCCTATAAGATACTAAGATTTCCAATGGGGTTCAGGAGGAACCTCTTCTTTTTTTAATAGTCATATGAAGGACTGCCCTTCTCCACAGCATGTCAGCACAATAACCCTTGCCACAAATGAATACAATCCAAGAAAAACATTTCTTTTCCCAGAGAAACTATCCTAGTGTCTGCTTCCCTTTACAATACAAATGAGGCATACAAACGAAGATGAGACCACCTATCACAGCATGGGCTGTGATAGGGATGGGATGTTTTCCTATAAACAGTGTCTCTGATTGAAGTCTTCCCCATTCCTGACATTCCTTAGAACATTGTGGAGCTCCCAGGGAGCACAGTGTGTAGAAGGAAAATTATACCCTCCACTGTACCTACCCAAAAAGGGGCAAGTAACCAATAGCAGAAACCATGCAGAGAAAGAAAACAGTCACAGATCTTCATGAAAGCCTACCTGAAACTTCATCAAAAGAGGTTGTTCTGCTTTTAATATTCAACTGGCTTTTGGTGTGGTCTTTGGTAGCTTGCCACTTGTATTGCAAAAGTAAATCACCTGTAAACATTCTTCTCTTCCTGTTCAAGGACCCCTGTCCTTTTTTATCCCTTTTCCTTTGATGGTTCCCTCCATGATTCAATAGCTGAGATGAGCAGAGAAGCCAGCCTGAAGGAGGGAAACCTCACCAGCCCTTTGGAATTTTCCAATGTTCCAGCATGTCAAAAGCACTCTCAAGGCACAGAGCGCTTGAAAGTACCGTGAATGAAAATCATATTTTTTTTTCCCTCTTTTAGTAAGACCTCTTTGCATCCCCATGTAGGGAAAATGACAGAGAAGAATCTCATTCTCCTCACTTTCCTTGTTATTAGCTGGAAGTAACAGACAAGTCATTTTGACAAAACTATAAAGAAACACAACAGTGCAAACAGACCACCCTGCCAAACCCAAGCAGCACGGCTGCTCAAAGACAAGGTAGGACTCCCTGTTATTGTTCTACCAGTCCATGGTATTGCTCAGTGGAAACCTCTTCTCAAAAAGAATCACAGCAGTAGGTCCCATACAGCAAATCTCACTGTTTGGATTCAAGTTTTCTAAACAGTGAATGGTCCCACTCAGGACTCTTCATATTCCATAACAAGATACTCTACTTTCTAACAGATAAATCAATACTCACGTTTGGAAGTGCTTAAGCTCTTCAGGCAAAACCATAAGGTCCTTTTCATACCAACAGACAAAAACAAGACACTCTGATAAGCACAGTATCAAGAAGAGAACAGAGAACACAAAATGGACGCAAAATGCATTAATTTAAGGTCTCAGTTTTGGTATTTTACAGCAACTTAATCTTTGCACACATACACAGAAGGAGTAACTCATGACTGTGAAGCTGCATTTAGTTCTTCAAGCCATTGGCTCACATAGTGTCTGCCACTCAGTTGACGACTGTTAAGTCAGAACTGTTTCCTGCCCGCCAAAGGCCTTACCTTGGCATCATCTACTTACATCAGCATGCTAACACACACAGCTGTCTTCCAACACAAAATAAAAAAATTCCTTTTGCATTTATCTTGCCTGGCTTCAGAATCTCAAGTTTGCCCAAGCCCTCAGCCCACAGCCCCTGCCCTGCCTCAACACTATTTTGAAACAACACTGGATGCCAAGAGTCCTGAACACTGAGACAAGGGAATAGCCTTAACAAACATCTAATAAAGGCTTTAAAATGGGACCTTGAGTTTGTGTTATGAAGACTAGCTATTTTCTTAATATTTTAGGTTGAAAAATTCCAGAGGCATAAGGCTCTTAGAGCAGGGTGATAATTCCTCCATACTCTATTAAGGCCTTCAGTTTATATACTGCTGCTCTGTCAGCTTGTCATTAGACCATGTAAAACATCAGACCAAGAAGAGGAAATGTCAGGTAGAAGTGTGACAGACTCTCTGAACAGCAGGAATGAAGTTAAACTACACAAAACAACCACAATGGAGTAAAACAATAGTCAGCCTGTACAGGTTCTCAAAATTAAATTAGAGCATTTTTACACTACAGATGTTTTACTCACAGCACTTCTTGCACAAACATCTACAAAAAGGACTGACCAACAAGTAAAAAAAAAAAAATTGAGGAACTCCAAAGTCCAGGAAAGTTCAAAAAGGTTTAGTTTACATACAAAAAACTGCAGTTAATTCCAAAAGTTCAAGTGCAAGTGAACTTCTGATTAATATTAATCACAAACACCACCAGTTTACCATGCAAATATTTTAATTATTTAAATTGCTCTCTTCTGAGCATGAAGAGACAGAAGTACCACTCCATAGTGGTATTTCCTATGACAGTGACAAAGGACCACTTACTTATAACTTAAATATAATAAATTCCTGTTTAGTATAACTGAGGCTGAATACCCACAGGATATTAATAATATTTCCCCTCCAGCATCTGGTCTAATAAAGAAACACAGAACAGCTTTGCTGTAGTACAAAAGTTTACAGAAAGTTCAACAATTTAATTAAAGACAATACAAAATATGTTGTCTGAATTCAAATAATTTATGTAAAAGTACATGCATGAGAAAATACTGGCAAGAAGATTTGGGTAACCCTATTATCAGATGCATGTTCTTTGTTCCTAGAGAGAGCATACAGTCAAAAATACATTTATAATTGAAATTACAATAGAAGACAGTATTTCAAATGCAATTTTGGGTCTACCAGCCCTTCAGGGCAAAAGAAATTCCTGTTAACAAAGGACAAACTGATAGAATAAAAAAAAATAGAGCAATACTGAAGTCTCTTAACAAGCGTGCAGTGTTTTCTTTTTCCTTTTATCAAGAAGGGAGAAGATACCAGAAAATAAAGGAGACTGTCTTCTCAGGTTTTTAGTAAATGTGATAGAGCATATCAGGAATTACTTTCATCCGTATACCCCAGAAAAACCCATTCTCCTAGTGGAGAGACAGGGCACAGATCAGGCACAGATCTTCCATTCCATACAAAGCAGTGCCATGTCCACACAAGTGTGGATCCTGCAGCCAAAGGAAACTACCTTGTTCTCAGGGGGGCAGCTTGGCCCCAACAAAGACCTTCTCTGAGCCTCCAACAGCACTACTAATCCTCTCACATTACAAGTTATTCTTCACCTTTATAAAATACTGAAAGCCCAGAAGTCACTTTCTTCATCATGGTATCACACTGAAATACCCAATATTTCTTACCATGTGTCACATTTTTGTGGTCAACTAAACAGTTTAACAAGACGACACATGATTAACTTCTTTCAAGATACTTTAGTTCATTGATTCTCAATAAAAGCACTGGTTGCAGTACAATAGTTTGACATACAGCAACAAAAGGTACTCAATTTACATGCACAAGCTATTTAACAACAGTACACAGTCTTTCCTATTGCCATTATGAAACAAATACTACTGTGACAGCTGGCACAACCTTCCAATTGTTCTCATGAGCTGCAATAGAGTGATGAAAACAGTGTTCCGATGGTACAATGCCAAAGAACAGAGATTTGGCCACTGCTGGAAGATTCCAATCAAGATGCCAGTACCGGTAATGGGAAACAGTGTTGAAGTAATTGTAAAAACAGCAACAAATGAAGCTATACAAAATTGCTCTGACTTGTACTTCAGTTTAAGAAAAACGTGAAAAATACATACAGCTTTGTATAGAAACAAAAGTGTGAAAAGTTAAAAGTTCAAGACAAGTTCAAGTTAAAAGACAAATGTGTGGATGAGTAAAAAAACCTCTGAGCACTGAAGTACTGCACACCAGCAGCAATCTGTTGGTGAAAGAGTGCATAATTGCCTTTCTGGATTGTTTTTGTGGGTTGGGGTTTTCTGATGTCTTTTTTTTTCCTAGAGTTGTGGGGGTTGTTGTTATTTGGTTTTTTATTTAATTTTATTTTATTTTAACAAAGCTTCCACCTTTGAAGCACAAGCCGAAACTCCTCTGCATTTGTGTCTGATGCTCGGCTGAGCTTTTGTTCAGTTTTACAGCTTGATCCAGATTTTCATGGATTGATGTACAAAGTACAGCACATACTATTAGGACTACTCACTCCAAGCTTTCAACATCTGCTTTTTAAGAAACAGATACAAGTGCCACCTTCATTAAGGTCAGTTTCAGCATTGCAGTTAAAGGGTTTCTAGAAATCAACAGAGAAGTCATATTTGTAACAATGAGATAAGCAATGAGCGTTGTAAAACACAAACATTACAGAATGACTTTTCCTATAGCAAATAAAAATCAGGGGACTTGATTTTTTTTTTTTTAACATTTCTTTCTGGGTTTCAGAAGTGCTAGCAATTTCAGCAATAAAACTTTTAAAGTGCCTTGGCTGTGCCACTTTTTAGTGGCTTTTCCAAATGGTATTCACACAAGTAAGAAACCTTCTCCTCTAAGGGACAATTAGCAGTTTAGCATTATGCTACTGGCAAGTAAGATCCTGAAATATTATGAATATTCAATAGTTGCCATAATTTTATTCATAACCATATAAAAAAGCAGAGTCACATGATACTGCACTGTCAGGTCTATCATATGCCAAGTAAGACTACAAAAATAAAAGTAAAAAGAAGTAAAAAGGCTTCAATTCTCCTATTTTTGTTGTTTAGTTTTTTAAAATTAATTGTCTCAGGAAAAAAAAAAGTAGCAAAGGCTGAATCTTAAACATAAAGGTATTATCATCAAATCAGGTCCTCTAATCCAGACTGATGGTACACTTATAATTTCAACTGAACCACTCCTTACAAACTTGCAATGTCAGCATTCATTCATACCCTGAACTGTTCCCTGGCCTCATCTACCCAATCAACTATTCACACCTTATATTAAGCAGAACAATAAAAAAAGTTGTTTGTGGTTTTGAAATAGTTGGTATGAATTTTTCAATACCACACTCAAGCCAGAGGAAGATAATTTTAAGGATATTTCAACTCAATTCAGAAAACACTGTTTAGATAGGGAAAAAAGAGATATGGATATGGAAGTACAGAAGGTGTTAAAACACCACTTTAAAAATGGACTTGGTAGAGAGCCTACCCTGGAAACACTTACCTTGTCAATGCATCAACATGATCATCTCAGAAGACAATTCAGAGACACCTAAGTCAGAATTGTGATAAAAATGAAACTATACTGTCAAAGATCACTGAAATATCTAATCTAAGACAGTGCAAAATGATGGCTGGTGAGGGGCAACCAGTCTCCCTGCAAAGTGAGGGACTTCAAATTACTCATCACTGACCTTCTTAATAATCTGCATTGAAGGACCTGATGAACACCAGTGATATTTCTGTCATGCAATTACAACTGTTAAGCAACCAATATGCAGCTCAAGAGTGATACTGTCATCCATAGTAGATTATGGAAGTAATAATCCATTAAAGTTCAAAGGGGAAAGTGGTAAACATCTTGCCATAAGTGAAAACACTTCAAAAATTTACAATTAAATAAAAAGTTAGATGATATCTTATAAAAAGAAGTACTGAACACAACAAGGCCACAATAAATTAGTGTTTCCATAAAATGACATGCTGAAGGTTTTGTTCCCAAGTCTATACATTTTTTACTGTCTGTTAATTCCTAAATATTGACGGCATAATTGAATAATTGAGGTACAGTAGTTTACATCTGTATATGTCTTGTAAAAAGATTATTATTTTTCTTCCAGTTTTTCTTCCTCCTCGCCAAAGAACAACAAAGGAAACATTCCTAAAATGCAGCCAATGGTCACTCCAATAGCTTTACCCTAAAGAAAGAGGGGGAAAAAATTAAGTTTTTCACTGATTAGTTATTACTCATTCCCCATGTGCCACCACAACCAGGGACAAACAACCCTTGTTCTAGTTTTCAGCTGGGAATCAAATTTTTCTTAGCATGCAGACTAGAAACTCAGTCTATGAAAGAGAGGCAGATATGACAAGGTTAGAAACAGTGTTTGCTATGATAAAAGACAATTCTGAAGAAGAAGGTGGGCAATGTTCATGAAGAGCTGCACAGGTGGTAAGGGAGGAAACAGACATTCGGAAGGATTAGCAGAATGGCCAAGAAGACAGAAAGTGAAGAAAAAAAAACCAAAACAACAAACTACCAAACAACACCTAAACACATTTTAGGTGCAATTATGAATGCATCTGCGTGTATCTGGTACTGCAAATCATCAAAGGAATGAGTGGCTCCTTGCAAACATGATGGCTTTCAAAGGCACAAGGCAAAACCAAAAAAACTGGAAAACATTTCAGTTGACCTGAATGTATAAGTCAAGAGGAGAGGAAATAAAATAAGACAAGCAGCCTCCAAATCACATCAATAGCAGCAGGTAGACAGTGTTGAAAAACTTGAGACAGCAGGTAAAAAAGACAAAATGCTTTCATACAGAAAAAGGTGCACAGAAGTATTTTCACAGAAAAAGAATATGAACAGAGTCCAATGACAGGGTTTTGCCATAGGCTCAGCTTTTACTGAGAAGACTCTTAGAATATGGCGCAACCCCCTGACAACATGCCAACACTTCACTGCTCTGTGCTTTGATCTATCACTGCTGAAACCTGACTTTTTCTACCCTAACTTTTCCTCAGTAAGTGCTATTTCTTTTCTCTTAAATCCACTAAAGTATTTTTCCCAATGAAGGCTCATTCTGGCAAAGTGAAGTATCTGTTTCTTTACTTAGTTTCTGATAATATAATTCTTGAATCATTGTTCTCACTACTGAAGTGGGACCACTTCAAATATTTAAATGTTAAGTAATCATCCTGAAAATGCATCTGCAAGGTGAGTGTCCTGTAACTGTAAACACAGGCAGTGAATATTAATTCAAATGCTAAAAGTTTGGCCAGAGAAAAGGTGATTTCTTATCCAAGTTAATTATAGAGTATTTGAAATCAGTACAAATCAGCACAGGTATATGAATAGCAAGCACTTGGCAAAATGTATAGGAGCAAACTACTAAGTGGTCATAACTTCCAAGTAAATTATCTTATCACCACAGCCAGGGCTCAACCCAGGTATCTGCACAGCATACACAAAGTCATGGCAGAGACTATCCAGGTCACTTGGGGCTGGCTGCATACAAAAAACCCACTGAAGCTCAAAAAAATCCAATCTCTTGATTCTACCCTGATATGGGTTCAAGACTAAAACCTCTGAGGAACATGGACTAAATTGATGGTCATTAAGGAATAAAGGAAAAAAGTGACAAAAAGCATTTATCTGTTAGTTTAAACACAAAAAGCTCCACACCAGCAGTGCTGCCCACAGGATACTCACCAAGTGTGCACTGAGACGGGTCTGCCACATGTCAGCTTGTTTGGGTGTCAGGTCAGGGATTGACAGACCCAGCCGGGAAGCCAAAGCTTCCACATAACCTGCAAGACTGGAAGAACAAGAAAACAAGAACATTTTTGAATCTCACAGTATCTTCTAGTGAGGGTTTTGAAATATATGAACATAAAAACCCAGAGCTTTCCCTTCAGCATACCAATAAAGTGATTGAGAGAAAACTATTGGACAGAGTTCAGACTACTAAAGGCCACATTTTTCAATGTAATTTAATTATCTCGCTGATTTAATATACAATATTTCCAAAAAACCTTATGCAGGATAACACAACTGGTGTTAATGCAATTTTGCAGAGCTTTATAAATAACGTTTTACTGGAGGAAAGGTCACACACAGAGCAGTTAGTTGGCAAGCCTTGTAATTTGCAGAAAACAAAACAGAGGTAAAGGGGGGGGGGGGAAGGCATAACAAACAACTTTACTTTCAGCAGTAATGCAGGAATTCCTTGGAAAAACTAAAAAAGCTGTATCTGTTTTTATCAGAAATAGATATGCCTAGACCTGAAGACATTGCAGAGATAATGTTTTAGCTGAGGAGAAGAAAATCTCTTCAGATCTGGGGATAACTACCTGAGAAGGTATATTAGGCAGAGCTATATTATATTACAAAAAAAAAATATTTTTCCAATTTGCATCTCAATGAATGCACTTAATATTATTAACACAAGTTCATACATACCCCAGTCCAGCTAAATCTGAAACAAGATTTCCTAAAGCTGCAGCTGGAGGAAGGAAGAGGAAAAAGAAAAACGTATTATTTTAGCTACAAAAAAGCCAACCAGCTCCCACCCTCCCGTGACCCTCACTTACTCTCAATTTACATAGAATTAAAGACTAGACCTAAGTTCCTTATATTTTAGTGCTTTTATTCTGACCTTATTACAGTTTAATAACAGCAGCAGACTAGAATTAGTAAGTGGTGCAACTATTTTTCTCAATTTACACGGAGAAAGCTTGACAAATACAAAATGACAACACTGACACCTAGAAATCAACATAACTTTTGAGATCAGAGTTAAGAACAGCTGCACATGATTGTCAGCTCCATGCAGCTAATGCTGGACACCAAGAAAGGCCTTCCCAGTGCCTGAAGAGGCACAGGAGCACTGGAAATGGAAGGAGCTGTCACTGAGGTATGCAGCTTTGATTAACATGTCAATATATCCATGAACTGCGTCAATTTAAGAAGAAATACTGCACACAAGTGAACAAAGTTACACACAAAATGCAAGATTTCACAGCAGACCTTAGTAAGATAAGCTTCCCTGTGACTATCTCACATTGAACCAAGGCCTGCAAATTTCCAAATCTCTGACTCACTCTGCTGTAACATTTCCAGTTAAGCTCTCCCTCCTTGTGCTTTTGAGCAATGCTGCACCTGCAGCTGGTGGATTCATGAGCACCCCTGACACTGCAGAAGCACCAAACCTGTCGAGCAGAGCTTATCACTCTTGTCCCAGTGCAGGAACAGGGTGGCTGCAGTGGTATCTCACCAAGGCAGAGGAGCCACCAAGAAGTGCAGTAAAATAACACCAACACTGATCTCCCCTTAGCACTGCAAGCACACAGCAAGGTACTAATACATATATCCACATATATTGACAGCGGGCCCTGGGGAATTTAGAGCAGTTACATTACAGAAACGTAAATACACTGCCCCAGGATTTTAATTACTAGGTTGAAATCAACAACAAGCATTTCAAAAGCTATTTTAACTGAAATTCCATTTCTACAAATGGAATATGTCCTAGCTTCACCCAGAGATTGTTTCTTTATTAGGAAAGGCAGCTGCAAGACTGAGGAAGAGCCATTTCCAGCCCTGTGCACCACTTTCAGCCTAAAATATAGGAATGTGCCATATCAGTCTAAATGTGCTGCAATTTTAATACTTGCCTGCCATAGTTGAAATTCCTAAGACAACTCCAATTGACAATTCTATCTGGGTTCCCTGAAAAATAAACAGTTTTCTCATTATTTGAGGGATTTGGAGTTAAAATAAATTATATTGTTACTACTGACAGAAGTATTGTTAATTGCTTGTCTATGTTAAAAGTGAAAGGATAAATTGACATTTTTTTTTTCCTATTAGATCACAGAGATCTCATCTTCCTGGCATACATTCCCCCCTAAAGCAAGGGCCTAATTCTGAAAATCTTTCAATATTTCATTTTTACATATTTCATACTTGTACCAGGCAGCTGGCGGACAAACCTGCAACCCTGCATATCCCTGCACAGCATCTTCCCCACTGCAATTCTTAGCTCAATGTAGAGCTCTGAACAAAAACTTCTACAAATACTGAGCAAACAAATAAAACACAGTATCACAGCTCCGTATGTTTTCAGCTGAAGAAACAAAGCCACATGGTCTACATTATGAAACATCAGTACATGGTGGAAAGATGAGAGACAATGTGCATAAACTAAAACAAGACGTGTTCCAGTTGGATACAGCAAATAATTTTCCATCCTGAGGACAGCTGAGCATTGGAACAGGTTGCTCAGACAGGCTGCCCTTGGGTTTCTGAAGTTCCTCAGGACAAAACCATGAACAACTTGGTCTCATCTTACAGCTGGCTCTGCTTTGAGCAGGAGGTTAGACTAGAGACCCTGAGAAGGTCCTAAGCAGGGGACTTTCTAGACTAGACCTCACAGGCCATTCTATTCTGTTCTCTTGAAAAATATGAATCTTACAGAATTGTTCAAGGAATTAAGCAGTGAACTTACCGCAGCAATCATAATTGCGTTATCCAAAAATCCAAACCCTACAAAAGGTAATGCATTGTGGAAGAACACTAAAAGAAATAAGTAACACAGAAAAAATAAATATTTATAAAAGAGTTCACTAGTGCACAGGAACAACTGAAATGTCTAATATTGTTTTTAAGAGAAACAAAGCCAAAATACACAGAATTCCTTTCCTACTGGTCACCTTTTTGTTGCTGGCAGGTGTGGTAAAACCCTTTGCTACACAGAAATGTTACTAATGGCTTGTGAAGAACCAGCTAAACAACATACTTTGAAAATACTTTTACAATTTCAGATGGAAGTCATTTATGCCTACTAGTGCATAGGACAAATACTTAAAACTACACAAACTCTGGTATTATTTACAGACCTTATGGCGATGTGGCAGTATCATTGATGATCATCAAACTGTCTCACCAGAGAAAGGCCCTGTCCTGCAAGTCCCTTGCTATTTCTGTGCAAGAGCTCCATCTTCTTCACACATCCCTAAAATTTCATATTTTAAAAGCATTGTTTAGAGATAAACAATTCTTGTCAAAACTCCTTCAGCCAAATCTGCAAATGCTAAGGTGGGTTTCACTAGGGTGTCATATACTGTTAATTATATCACAATTTCAATTGTGAATTGTATCTTGATTTTGTTTGTGCACTATCCTCAGTGCAAGTTAGACTTGTAGCTGCTTCTTAATATATTGCTTGAGAAACCAAGCTTCACCTTTTGTTTCACGCATTTTCTTCTTTTTTACTTCTAAAACCCATTAAATCCTTTCTGAAAATATTTTCTGCTGCAGAAACTTGGAACATGCTGGTCTGAGTAATTTCTAAGAATGAGCACTGTAATACAGTATCATTCCTTTTTGTACTGCTTCATTTTCTTTGTCAGGTTTTTGCCTGCAAGCTTTTGATGGGGTTGGGATTAAATTTGCACAGCGTTGTCTCAAGCTGAGTTTCAAGGTGCTCACCTCATAAGACTAAATACAGCATGAGGTTGTACATGACAACAATACAGCTGAAAGTTTAAATTTTTCATTTTTTTAACATTTAAGATGCAGCATTCCGTTTGGATTTGGTTGGAGTTTGGGATATTTTTTTCACTTCATGTTGGACCATAATTTTTACATTTTATAAACTTAAAGAGATGCAAACCTAGGAAGAGGGACAAAAGAAGAGTACATGAACCTCACAGCTATGTGAAAAGAAACTGGTACCAGTACCTCTTGGGATTCCTTTCTGCAGGCAGTATGAATCCATGATCACACAAAACATCCAAAGCCACATTCAAGATCTTTCATGCTTAGGTAGTAGAACATGAATGGTCATCTGTAAACTACTTTGTGAGAACACACCTATTTTCTAAACTGCATAGGCAAAAGACTACAGCACAAAACCTATGAAACTTTCCAATTATTTTTTACCACAGGATAAACCCACCAAAACATAAATAACAAAACAAGCACACAGATATGCCCAGTATTTTCAAAATGTGTGTACTGGAGCTAACTGAGACCTCAAATTCTTGTTGAAATGCACATTATTTTGGAATTCATGGAGCAAACAGAACTCCAGGGACAAGGGGGGGAACAAATTAGAAAAAAAAAAGTAGATATTTAGAAAAGGAAAATGTTTGCTTAAATAAATTTGCTCAGTGCAGAGTACAAAACCACAAAAACATGCTAATTTGGAAACTAAATCAGAATTTGATTATATCATATATTGTATTATAAATGTATAATCTGTTTCCAATTTCTCTGCAATTTTATACCACTTCTCAGTCCTTTTGAAACACAAAACCTCCACAAGGCACTGCAGCACCAACATTGCCAGGCTTAGAAAAACAATGTTTGCTGCTGGCTTTGAACTGTGTGCTCTCATTTGGGCTTTCTGTCCTACTTTCTCTAAGTGTTGCACATTCTCCAGCCGAGGTGTTATGAAACAAAGGCAGCAGGGTGAGTGTTGGTGCTTGCTTTGGTTTTCTTTTACTCCATACAACAGGGATGAGGACAGACCAGCACTTGGGGAACACAGATGAAGCCAATTCAAAGAGAGACTGCACAAATACTGAACCACATTCAAAAAACATTCTTCTTTTACCATGTCTCAGTTGTCCTGGAGATGGTGGTGCAACCTCCAACTTCTCTAGAGAAGTCAAAATGAAATGAGAAAGTTAGCTGCTTCATCACAAATTTGGTTCATTATCAAGTCTTTACCAAATTTCTAGCAGGCAAAAAAGCAGTTATGTTACTTAACAGCTTTCAAATTGGAAGAAAAACACATCACACCTAGATTTTTATTATTTTTACAAAAGATAACATGATATTAAAATATTGCAAGCTTACACTAGTATAAGTGATTATGCACAGTAACAGCATACTTCAGAAACAGTCCAACAGCCATCTTAATTGGAAAATTACAAAACCACACTAAAATTAGAAAAATCAAATCTTCTACAGAAAATTGCATGTTATTTTTCAGAGGTCCTCTAAACATGCAGCAGAGAACCTTATTTCCTCCAGAGAGTCTGCAAAACAATTTCTACCTTTTCTATTCTCACAAAAGGTACTTTTCATAGCAATATAAGGGTAAAAGAAAAATAGAGACCACCGATTTTGGTAACAGCAGATTAAGTTTGGTCATTTGGCACATGTTTAAGGTATCCTAGAGTCAAATCAATGAGAGTTTGCAAGGACCAGGACATCACTCCTGAGCCCGACAGAGTACTTTCTCTACAAGAAACTAACGCAGTTATGACCAGAGATGCTGGGCTTCTGCAGCAGCAAGTTACTCGTTTAACAGCAGCAAGGGAAAAAAACCTAGTTACTTTTTAAGGTTTTTCTTATGCTCAGTATCTACATTAAAAAATGGACAAGACCTCCTTTTTAAAATAGAAAAAAATCATTCCCCCAATATTTTCCAATATTATGACAAGTTGTTGCCATACTTCTGCTGAGGTATATTCTACAGACAAAGGTTAAGAATGGTAAAATGTGGAACCTACAACACTCGAGTATTCAAATTTTACTTGGGAAGACAAGTACATGGAAAGACAATGCTGCAAACACAGAGTGTGATTAATTTGAGCCTATGTCTCAGCACTGCAGATCAGAGTGAGTATTCTTGCATCCAAGTCACTCTTATATTCAAAGCTATTTTAAGGAAGAAATGAAAACATTAACTTAAAGTACCTTTGAAGAAAAAACATTACATGATAATACCAGTATTTAGCCAACCAGGACACTGACTTCCAAAATAATTTCACTAATTGAAGGTCTTTAACACTTTCAAGCTCTAGCAGTTACTGAAGAGGTGCTTCCTCCCTCTGCCCAATATAAACACGACCTAAGCTCTACAAACACCAGGTGCACTCACCATGCAAATGGGACAAGTTTAGCCCAATATGACAGAAATAAAGATTATTTTGTTCTCCCATAGAAAATGCCAAGGAATCCACAGATTCAAAACTCAGGCTAGAAGAGGAACATGGTAAATAGAAGATTCACCTGTCAGAGTGAATCTTCTGAAGCCTTGAGTATTGACAGCAAGAAAACTTCAGACCAAAATTTTCAGCATGCGTTCAGAGTGAATGGGATTGGGGACGGGACCCACTTTCATATGGTCTCCTGTTCTCACAGGTTAAGCAGATCTTTTACAGAAGCACGGACAAAGAAAGAACCATCTGTATACACCAGTACTGCCCTTTGGGCAGCTCTTCTCAGAGACAGTAAATTTCCACAACACTGGGGAAAATCGGAGCCACCATGAAACAGAGATTAGCTGAGGCCACTGTTTCCAAAAGCTCCAGATGCCCTGAGGGTGGCCAGGCAACCTAAGTCAACACTGTCACATCCCTGATGGAGCTTCCCTAAACTCAGTTGCTCCATCCTGCTGAATGCCAGGGAGAGAATAAAAACCCCAAGCAGAACACAAGCACAGGAGGTCACAGAGGGCTGCCCTCCATGGCTTTCTGCTCTGATGGGAAGCACTCACACCAACCACTGCGGCTGCTGGGCTTCCTGTGGCACTGCCACCGAAACCACCCCTGCTGCAGCGCCCAGCTAGTTTCTACAGCTAGGTCTCCATATAAAGGTTTCTGTGATAAGAAACTGTAACAACATAAACAAATTTCCAGGAAACACTCTACCTCTGAAGCAGACATCTCTTCATAGTTTCCCTGATTATGACAGCCAGTTAGATTAGATAATTTCAATCTATTTTGGGTATCAATACAGAATACAAAAGACTATTCAACTTGTCACAAAATATTACAAAGCTCTAGAACATCAGCTCTCTGGATTTAACTACAACTGAGTTTGATAGCACCTGTCAGTCTACACAATTATATTCTACTCAGTCTAGCTAGACAGCTATTTAAAAAAGCTAAGAAAACCCAGTGAATATTTGATTTCAGAAACTTAGTACCACAAGGAAGAATTAAGGGTGTTTGGTCGAAGGAAAAAGAAATAAAAATGTCTTGCCTCTAGTCATAATGGGAGTTCCAAGTTATAATAACTAAAAAGAACATCAGCTCCTCATTCTGAACATACATCAAGGACTACCTTGAGACATTTCTAAAAGAAGGGAGGCTGGGGGACACTACTTGGAGGTTAGAGGAAAGACAAATTAGTGCAAGATAGAGGGAAATACCAGGGGATCAAATATAAACAAAAATTACTTAATCATTGACATAATCTGTTTCAGTAGCATGGGATTCCTGCTAAATAGGCATTTTATCAAGGAGTCCTTCAACACTATCAGGACAGAAGTTGCAAGAGAGGTCACTGGGGACAGCACGGTGGCACCATGCTGTGGAGACCAGACTGCTCCAGATCAGCCACAGGGAGCTCATGCCAGTAATGGCATCTTCCTACTGCACATGCAAGAACTTTATCTTATAAAAGAGAGTCTTGTAAACTCATGTGGAAGCATGTCTGGCTTACAGCTTCCCTCATCATCAAGATAAAATTTAATCTGTGAAAAAAAATTGTGATTACACATATTAATGAGACAGGGATAGGAGAAGTCTGCCAGAAGAAGGTGAGTAACTGGTGCTGTGAGCCCTGCACATGGTCTGGACAGGGCAGCTCCCTCTCTGCCTGAGCCAGGACAGACCCAGGGAGAGCATCTCATTCCCCCCAGCACAGAGCAGGGCCAAGTCAGACTGGGGGGGCTCAGGAGCCTGTCACACGGTACCTGCAGGACCAGGCTCATGGGAAAAGCTGTCCCCTCTGGAGCACCAAAACAAAGCTTTAAAGCACAAAGGCAACTTCCCTGGGAATTGATGTTCCGCCTCTGCCACTCTGCTCACTGCAGGAAAGGGTTGCTCCAGCTCAGCTTGACTTGCACAGGACAAAGATTGGTCTAAAGCTTGGACATGGGAAAGGAAAAAAAATTAAAGCAGAAAAAAAAAACCCAACCACTGTGGCATGAAAGCCAAAAACCTTTTTACTTCCAATATCATCATTTTAAAGCATAACATACTTTAAAACTCTGCAAGATATGAAAGCACTGAGAGCCAAAAAAAATTTCTTTAAACAAATTTCCTGAAATTCTAGATAGCAAAATGTATTTCAGCATAGGGTATTTATTCATAGAAAGTTGTTCTGACTATCTGAATTTTCAAGACTCAGCAAAAAATGAGAATAAAAATATTCAGAGAGTACAGTAAAGGAAACGTGTCCTTTGTTTATTTACCCAGAGGGAAAACAAAAATCTAAATTGCAAAACCCTCTTTAAAGAGCTCAATTCAGTCAGAATCAAACAATTCAGAGTTTAAATGTCTGGAGAAAAAAAGAAAACAACTCTAAAGTACTCCAGAACTGCATTTCACAATGGCCATTCGCCAGCTCATCCTGCGTCACAGCACTCAACAAGACACAGAATTCATCTTATTGCAGAAAGAATAAAATGAAATGGTGAAGTGAGGAATTGCTATTTTCTAACTGACATTCATTACCATAAATGAGGTTATAAACCAAGGTTCAAGTGCAATACATGTCATGAGCCCTGAATTAGCAAAGTCTGGGAAGCAGAAAAACATTTACTGCTTCTTAAATCTGTTCTTGATATTTTCAAAATTTATACTACCATATTTTTCTTTAACTATTTTAAAAAATAGTTAGAAATCAGAGGGTGGGGGGAGCATGGGGGTAGAGGAGTAAAATATAAAACCATCAACATAAATAATACCATCATCCACAATTTGGCCCAAACCCAGCAAGTTAAAGCCATTCTGCCAATTGTAGCAAAGTACTTGCAATTTAGTTTTAGAATTATTATTCTTAGCTGACAAACTAACCACAACTGACTAACAGGTATTGGGAGTGCATTTATTAAAAAAAAACCAACCCAATCAAAACCCAGCAAGCTGTCATCACCAGTTTCTGAATTATCAATTTTTTAAGAACTGGCATACAAGAGAACTTGCAAGCCTAAAGGCATGTATTATGTTTGATTTGAATTGCAGCTAACGCCACCATAAAATTTTATAGCTGAATCTGCTACTGTCACCCAGGGGCAGGAACACTAACACTGAATGCAGGTACTACTTCCAAAGCTACCCTAGGAAAATACTTGCTTCTGCTGAGTATTGCCATATCTGAGAAAAAAATATGAGCAGTTTTTTATAGATTTCTAAATAGCGACTGAATAGTTTAAATTAATTATTAAACAATGGAAGATGAATACAATAAATATTAATAATCTAGATCTATTATAACATCATTTTAGGCTCCAAAGGCACGTAATCTAGAAGTTACAGAGGGTTTTGTCTTGAATTCATCAATCTCTTTCCTCCAAAAAGCCTGTCCAGATAATTTCAGCTAATCATTCAGATACACATCACTGACACTGCAAAAACATTACTTACACCGAACAAGAAATCAGAACAATTGTTGTATCTACTAAAAAGAGGTACTTCTTTGCACATGAATTCATGAGAGGATCTATACAACCAAAATTCTGGATTGGAGCCTAAAAATGAGCTGTGTTATTGCTTTGTTCAGAGATGGATCTTCAAAATTTTTGACTCTGACATATAAGTTCATTTATGGAATAAGCTCATAAGGCACCTCCTCATAATCCTTTTTTCTTTCTCTGCTCTTCCTCAATGTTTTGACCAAAACTGCAATCTAGCAAAATTG